CTTTCTCTCTCTACTGCAATGTATCTGTTGCTTAGCCCAACCTCTGATGAGGTGAGTAGTGAGCTTTACCACCGACCAGTGTACCATCAATGCAGCATGCCTAGAACGTTCCACATGCTAAGTTCTCTTGGTGCTCAGAGATGTGACCAGCTTGCAGATGAACAGGCGTTAGGATTCTCTGCTGGCCTGTGACCCTAAGAATTACCGTTCTTTTTAAATGAACTTTTGTAAAGCAGTCATTTACAAAGTGCTTTCCCATTTTGATTGAGTACTCTAAACCGCAGTATAAGATTTGATCTGTTGTACCAGTGAGAGAAAGCCAAGGTTTAGACAGCTTTGCCTAATAACATTTTACGTGAATCGTCCAAGAATGTTCAGCAAGGAATTGAGGGAGAACTTGAACCCAGATCTGAATGCAAAACCTGTACTCTCTCCAGTAAAACACGCCGCTTCTCCAGCTTGAGTAGTGATACTTTGTCGAAAACCGAAAGTGCTGTTAGCCATCACATCAACTTAGCATCACTTCAGCACTGAAGGGTCCACACAGTTTAACCCTTACTTCCCCTGCTCCCAGTCTTCTTCATCCTTAGGGTGGTATTTGTGCCGCTCCTCTGTGATGGAATTCCTTCCTGTTTCCTCTCAGTCTGTGGCAGTGTTTTCAGTAAGCAGCTCTCGCTCTTCTGGATCCTCCCCTTTACCAACCTGATCACAATTACCTATGCTTATGTGCTATGTTATGGTGCATAAACATAACACGTTTTCAGGAGGGCTGGCTCTTAATTATTTCACATGTGGTAGCACACATAATACTTTCTATAGAAACTCTTCATGCCTTATGGATGTCAACCTATTTAATCCTCTGAAGTAGGTCCTGTTTAACCCCTTTGCAGATGAGGAAGAATCCTCACTGAGAAGTTAACAACTTGCCTAAGTTATAGTCACAGTAGGCTGTCTAGAAATATCATTAATATACTGTATATTTCAAAAACTGTAAGAAGGGATTTCGGAAACTTTCACCATATGGAGATGATAAACGTTTGAGAAGACAGATGTGTTTAGCCTGGTGTAAGCATCCCACAATGTGTATGTATCAAAACTCACACAGAGCCCCATTAATATAATTTTATGTTGTTTTGTTTTACTTTGCTTCTGCTTTTGTTTCGTTTTTGCTTGACAGTCTTACTCTGTAGCCCAGGATAGCCCAGGGCTCACTAAATAGCCCAGCCTCATCTCAGAACTGTGGCTGTCTCCTGTTCCAGGCTTCCAAGTGCTGGGATTGCAAGCATAAATCACCATGCCCTGCCCAAGCTTATGTTCCTGGGTATTACTTAGACAGACCAGGGGCAGGAAGATGGCCCCTGGGGTCAAGGCACTTGATGGGAAGCTTGACAGTCTGAGGTGGATCCTGGGATCCACACAGTGGAGGGAAGCAGTGGCCTCCTATGAGTTGTCCTTTGGTCTCCTTGTGTACCCCACACACATACTCTCAATACAAAATTAATAAATTTCATTTAAAATTTAAATAAATAAACAAAAATAGCTACCAAAGACTTAAGCTTTGAAATAAAGGTTGTGGGAAGTTACTCAGCCTCTGTGAGTGTACATCACAGGCTACTGTGAGAACTGACTTCCTGTTCAAACCCAGCTCCCTCGTCTCTCCCCCTCCGCCGTGTGCTCACAGTTGATAGCAAACTCCGCTCTCTCTCACAGACAGAAAGACTCCTCTCTGTTGCACCTTCCTGCTGCTCCAGTCAGTTCTGTTCACGCTGTAAGCCGGGCTCAGTTTTTCTTCCCTCTTTTATTTTCTCTGACTTCGGGGCTTCTGTGCTTCAGGGCACTGTTCTAGCACCTTCTGTCCCCAGTGCACAGTTTTATGGTAACCATTTGCTTCCAGTGTTCCCAAGGCCTTAAGTGTAGAGCCTTACAGACTCGGGTGTGACTGGGTGACGGAGCACTGGCCTGGCATGCCTGAGGCATGACCCTCAGCACTTCTCAAAGAAGAGACTGCCGAGGGAGAACGCTCTTGTACACTGTAAAGATTTGTCCCTCCTGTTGGTTTAATACAACGCTGATTGGCCAGTAAGCAGGCAGGAAGTGTAGGCAGGGTGACCAGACTCGACTAAGACTGGGAAAAGTAAAGACAGAGACCAAGTCACCAGCCAGGTGCAGAGGAAGTAAGATGAGGCCCCAAGCCATGTGGCTAAACACAGACAAGAACTATGGGTTAATTTAAGTACAAGAGCTCGTTAGTTACAAGCCTGAGCAATAGGCCGAACAGTTTATCATTAATAGAAGTCTCTGTGTGTTTATTTAGGACTGAATTCACAGCCACGGGACCAAGTGGGACAGAAACTTCCATCTACAAGAGACTGTAGAGTCTTGTTTTTTTGTCTTCAGTGTCCACTTTCAGAAGGCCTTGGTCCCTCTGATGAAGTTCTTAGATACTGGCTCTATTAGCTACTTTTCTACTGCAGTCACAAAACCATGACCAAGGCAACTTTTAAAAGGAAGCATTTAATTCAGCTTATGGTGTTAGAGGGCTAGAATCCTTGGTAGGGCTCATCTCTTGATCCTCAAGCAGGAGGCGGAAAGCACGTGAAAATGGCCCAAGTCTTTTGAAACCTCCAAGTCCACCATCCCCGGTGACATACCTCCAACAGCGTTACACCTCTTAATCTTTCCCAGACCATTCTAGCAACTGGGGAGCAAGTGTTCAAACCTGAATTTATGAGGGCCATTCTCCTTCAAACCACCACAAGGGCTCTGTGTTACAGTGTCCACTGTCAGCATCTCTTGTGTTATCTTTTCTGTGTGTATTATATTGTTCAAATTGCATGCCAGTAATTTAACTAAGAGGGTGTAAATGACTAGGTTTATGAATCTGTGATTACTTTACATCGCACTATTAAAGATTTATTTTTCACATCTGGTAGCTTAATAATGTCCCCCTCAATCTTTATTGTTTTGTATTTACAGTGAAAATAAAGCCTGTCACACTAAGGAGAGATTGAATTGTTTTTCCTTCTAGGATTCTACTTTGAAAAGAAATGCCTGTAGCTGTGAACTAAATTAATTATATTAAACCTAGTATTCAGTGCAGTATTACAGATGTATTAATACATCTCTTCCTGTATTTTGATGGCAAGGATACTGGATTCCGACTGGACTCACTACACACCATCCTTCAACAGGAAGTCCTGCTCCAAGAGGATGTGGAGCTAATTGAGCTACTTGATCCCAGCATCCTGTCCGCAGGGCACCCTCAACAGGAAGATGGACACCTTCCAGCGCTCCGCTCCCTGGCAACCCCGAATGTTTGGTACTGTCCGGAAACGTTTCTCTTTTGACTGCTTACATGTAGACTATTGGCAGAAGAAATCCGCCATAATGCTCTCTATTGGAAAGGCCTTAGGAACATTCCATATATTTAGAATTGCAACAGATGTAGCGATATGCCAGAGATTCAAAACAAAATAAAACCAAAGTGCTAGAAAAATTACCATGTGTTTCCAACTCAGCGAAATTAGTTGTGTGCTTCGCAACGCAGCTATCAGGGATAAATGTACAGCAGTGCAGTGTGCCTGCCAGCCCTAGCCGGACAGCGTCATAGCTGTGCCCAGAGACACTAAGGGTTGAGACGAGGAGATAAAGCATCGCTTACGCCTATGGTGGCTGAGAAGAGATCACAACTGATAACATAGCTAATGGTTTGAACTACTCCAAAGCTTACTTGAGGAGTTGAGGCAGGAGGATCACAGGTTCCCAGGAGTGAGGGTCCAGCCTGGGCAATATAGCAAAGACCTTGTCTCAAAAGAAAAGAAAACAGTCACACAAAAACAATCCTGAAACCTTTCAGCTACTGAAAATATTTGGGTCTAATGCAAAAGTCCTGGGTCATAATGTGTCTTAAAATAGTTTTTTTTTTTTTTTTTTTTTTTTAAGGAAAAGATAAATACTAAAAGATTTTCTGTGTGTCCATATGTGTGGGAATCGTCAATGCCCTTCTCCTGTTTGTTTGTCATCTACGACAGAGAAGGGAAGAATGAAACAAGGAATGTACAAAGTCACTGCCCAAATGGTTCACGTTACACAGTGTTAACCGTCCTGTGTTCCAAATCTCTTTCCTGTCACACTGTAATGGGTAGCTAAGTGTGTTTCCCAGCCAGCAGTTACTGAAATACCATCATGAGAAGATAAACATTTTTCTCTTTAAAAATAGAGGAATTTGCCTGGCACCGTGGTGTGTACCTAGAGTCCCACAAGTGTGCTTCTAGTCTAAGCTACTGAGACACTTGCTTGAGCCCGAGAGTTCAAGGCCAGCCTGGACAACACAGTGAAGACCTTGTCTCTAAAAGACCCACAAAAATAGATATTTATGTGCATATTATAAGTACGTATATAAACGAATTGAACCATGGATGTTAAGCATTTGTAGGGCCGGAGACAGCGCATCTGCTAAATGTTTGCCATGGGAGCAAAAGGACCCGAGTGCAATCCCAGAACCCACCACATTTTTTTAAAAAGCCCGGCGTGGTGGCATGTGCTTGTAATGCCAGTGCTGGGGAGGCAGAGACAGGCAGCTTCCTGGGGCTCACGGGCTAACCAGCCCGACCTATTTGGAGAGATTAAAAAAAGAAAACAAAGTGGGCCGGTTGTGATGGTGCACACCTGTAATCCAAGCACTCGGGAGGGAGATGCAGGTGGATCTCTGAGTTTGAGGCCAGCCTGGTCTACATAGCAAAGTAGCGGGATAGCCAGGGCTACACAGAGAGACTCTGTCTCACAAAAACAAACAGTGACACCAACAATAAAAAACAAGGTGGGTGGCATCCAAGAAATGACACAGTTGACCTCTGGCCTCCCACGCATACACACATGCACATGCATGTACACACACATGGGCACACAGAGATTTCCACAAAGGGGACCGGCTGAGCAATTAGGAGATTTTGTAAATGCTTTTAGAGTTTGCTGTTGCCTTAATTACTGTTCCGTTTCCGTGAGGAGATACCAGGACCAAGGCAACATAAAAGAAAGTATTTCCCTGGGGGCTGGCTTCCAGTTTTAGAAGGTTAGTCCCTGTCGTCATGGCAGGAAGCAGACAGATGTGGCTCTGGAGGGGCAGTTGAGAGCTGTGCATCCTCATCCATGGGCAGCAGGCAGAGAGACCTCGAAGGCCACCTCCAGGGGCACACCTCCTCCAGCAAGGCCACACCTCCTAATCCTCAGACAGCTCCACTCCCCAGTGACTACGCATTCAAACATACAAGCCTGTGGGGGGCCACTCCCATCCAAACCACTACAGCTGTTAACATGTAAAGGTAAATGATGTGATTTTAATTTATGATTTTACGAAAAGTAATGAATTCTGGAAGAAGTTAGGGCTAACAATGATTAAGAATCCTTCTCCAGTCCGGGAGATGGCTCAGTGATAAAGTGCTTGCCACAGCAGCATCAGTGCCTGAATTCAGATCCCTGACGCCCACCTAAGGTCTAAAAGCCTGGTGTGGTGGCCACACGCAGGTGGACAGAAGCAGACCCAGAGGCCTTGGTGGCCAGATGGTGTAGTCAAAGTGATGAGCTTCACTGAAAGACCGTTTCAAAGAGTAAGGTGGAAGTGATAGATAGCCCATGCAGCACATAAAAAGTGTTCTCACATGACATTCTCAGTATGACTGTAACTCCCAAGTATGGCCGAAGCTGTGTTCACAGGTTCTCAGATACATTTGCCTGTATTCTGTCTTATGTGTACACATCTCACCAAAGTTGTCATTGCTTAATTGACCCAAATAAAAATTTTATGCATACTTTTAATGCCATTAATGTAGTATGGAAGTGCACAGTTTTTCTACTTTGTTATCTTTGGCAAAAAATGTTTGTTCAAGTTAGTGATGATTATTAAATTAGATGACCATTCAGTTACCAACTGTGTTTTATTATTGTTGTTTTGACTTTGATCTTTTGAGGCAAGGGTTTATTTTGTAGCATATAAGTGCTTGGATCGTAGGCATGCACCATCCTGCCTGCAAGTAAAGCATGGAATAGCTTCTGTGTAAACCATGTTTTTGTGCAAATGGCTTTGAGCAAAACAAACTCAAACTATCTCTAAGATACTGTTTTTCCTTTTAAATATAGTATATAAAATTGAGGTTTTAATATAACTTACATATTAAATACCATACTTCCTAAAACAGTTGTAAAAGACACTTCTTACCAATGTCCTTTACCTAAATTCACCAGCTCAGATTTTATTACCTAGGCAACATTATCTAATATGCTGGATGTTTAAAACTATTCCACATCACCCTGTTGTATGTCGCATTCTTAAAGTATTGCCTCCTAAAGAAGCTAGAGTTTTGTTGTAATGAACTGAAAACGGCCCTTGTTTTTACCGACTCCAGTGGCTGACCCCTCTCCCCTGTCTGATGGCTCTTTTCCTTGGGTTCTATGTTCACAGGGATGTCTCCATGCTCCTTGCCTTCATCAGCTTGCTCATTATGCTTCCCACTTGGTGGATTGTGTCTTCCTGGATGGTATGGGGAATAATTCTATTTCTTTACTTGATCATGCGAGCTTTGAAATTATGGAGGACAGCCAAGCTGCAAATGACTCTGAAAAAATATAGGGTCCGTTTGGAAGATATGGCAGCAAATAGCCGAGCCTTCACCAACCTTGTGAGAAAATCTCTGCGTCTTATCCAAGAAACTGAAGTCATTTCCAGGGGATTTACTCTGTGAGTTCATTTCTCACTTTAATTTTTAAATGATTCTGTTCTGCTATTTACTTGAAGGAGAATATCACGTTTTTATTTCTGTGTTATAGTTGTGGCAGGGGAAGTCCACGTAGCCTATTATTAATAAAGGGATAAAGTCATTACATGCTAGATGGGTGTATAGTGGGGCTTTGCTTATCTACTTGGATTCATGTTTTGTGAAAAATGTTTTGACAATCATAGTCGCTCTGGCTTATTACCGTGTGACTGGATGAGACAGTGACAGTGTGTAACACTGAATGCATGTGCAGTGGTTACTCAATAAATGTTTGCTTCCTTTATTCCCTGTCGGAAGACCTCATTGCCCAGTTTAGATGGTAGATGTAGCTGGTGTGATTTCACTTTAAAATCTAGACACATATCAATAACACCCCCTGGGTCACCATTAGCAGCTGCTGGAGCACTAGCACTTTTAGAATATCATGCTAATGATGATGTTGCACACTCCTGTGGGAAACGAAATGGTTAGCAGTCTAGCTGTCAACGTTTACGCTCCAGGATATGCTGGATACTCACTAAAAGGAGACTGCAGGACTAGGGTGATGGCTCAGCAGGTAAGAACATCTGTGCAAGCATGAGGACTTGATTTCCCATCCCCAGCACCTGTGTTAGGAACCAGGCATGGCTATGGGATGTAGCTGTAACCCCAGACCTATAGGGGAGTCGGGACAGAAGCATTGCTGAGGCTTACTGGCTGCCAGCCTAGCTCTAGACTCAATGGTAGAACCTGTCTCAAGAGAATAAAGTGGTTCATGAAGAAGCAGGACACCTGGCCTCCTGAGTGCACTGGCATCTGTATCTACATAGATATGTGCATACACCACAATACCACACACACAGGGCGGGGCATTGCACTTATTGAGGATCTGTAGTCAAAAGTTTTCCTGTGTCCTGCTCAGTCCCACAGCCACTAAGACCCAAATAACCACACACATAATATTCTTAAACTATGGCCATAGCAGGTTTCTTGCTATATAGTTCTTATAGCTTAAATTAACCCATTTCTATAGATCTATACTTTGCCATGTGGCTTATGGCTTACCAGCATTTTTACATCTTACTTCTCATGGCAGTGCCTGGCAATGTCTCCTCTGCTCTGTCTTTCTCCTCTCTCTCTAGTTGGAAAGTCCTGCCTAACTTTATGCCTCACCATTGGCCAAACAGCTTTATTTATCAACCAATCAGAGCAACACATATTCACAACATACAGAAAGACATTCCCCTCAGGGACCAGCTATGTTCCATGTGCTGTGCTAATCATTTTTACATACAACTAAAGGTATTCACAGAGCAGTTATTCAGATCCATCTCATCTGACTTCAGAAGCCCATTTCCAGTATACTAGGCTGCCTACTAAATGTCCACAGATGGCCGCTAGACTATAGTATATAATTTTTAAAGTTTCAATTAGCACATATTATACAGTGAGTTTCACTGTGACATTTTCATACACGTATGTAATGTATTCAATCATATTGACATCTCATCACCTCTCTTGTCCCCTGCCCACTATGTGACATTTTTCCATTGCCGTTTATAGTTGGGAAAAATAAGTATGCAGCGAACAATAACTGCTTTTAATTAGTTGAGGTTGGAAGATGTAAACATCAGGCATCAGGGAAATGCCTCTTGTAGTCTCTGCATCATTCTCTTTGCTCTGCTCTGGATCAGTCCTTCATCCTTAAAGCTCTATCTAGAAAGTCATGGGACAGAGACCTGGAGGAATCTGTAGTCACGTGCTTTTCACTCTCTGCTCTTTGAACAATCCTGAGAGTATAGATGACATGGAAGAGTCTTATGCCCTCTGCTGCTCAGTGCAAAGCATGACAGTCCTGCGTGTGTTGATTTTATCCTTCCATTAGGTTAGGTCCAATTCTTACCAGTAGATAGCAAGTTTTGAGTTGTTTGCCAGATTTTAGAAATTAAAAAAGGCACACATAAGGAATATCTCCTTTTGGTTGTTGACATACACAGCGTTGTATGGAGAGGCCTGAGGGAGGAGTGGCCATGCGCCCAACCAGTGCTTAGACATGTGTAGAAGGTGCTGTGACTTGTCAGTTTTCTGACTTTTACCCATCTCCATGGAATTGACATGCAAAGGTAAAGTGGGCCATTGAGCATGATTCACCCCCTGGTGACGCTTTTGTACCATCCAGGTGGCAGGTGGGTAAGGAGAAGTGTTGGAAGACGTCATTTCATAGTTTCTGTCTAGCTGGACACTGGGCTGAAAAGTCCCAAGGGACAATAGACCTTGCCTCGAGGTCTTAGAAATATTTTAGTTTGCAAAATGGAGTCAGCAAAGCACAAGCCCTCATGCTTCACGCTGACATTGGGAATGGCTTGTTTCTGCCTCACTGTTTCCTTCTGGCAAATAACCTAACCTTGCTTTTCCTGTGTCCCCTTACTTAAGGTAAAGCCCGTCCATGTTGTCCATGGACTTTACATTGTAAACACTGCGGTCCAATGCCTGTTTATAGATGTGTGCTTTTATGAGGAAGGTTTACAAGTGCCGACACGTTGTCTTGCTGTGGGAGGAGGTTACTAATAGGAGAAACTGCGGCACCTAACCGTGCCTACTCTCGGTCATGAAGCAACACATTCCATGTCGTTCCTGCAAATGCTTTCCGTGGGCCTAAGGAAAGCCATGAGATGTGAGAGCTTGAGCGCGGCTGGCTGCCACATAGTAACCCTCACTTTGCCTCTCTGCTTGTGTTCCCCTGTTGGCCACTGGTCCTGGTAACTCTGCCCTCCTACTTCATTGTGAGTAGGTAAGTGCCAGTGGCAGCAGGTGGGTATTGACTCCGCCCTACTTCTATGGATGTACAGATGTGTTTCTATGTAGTAGTTCATTGCCCTGTACATGTGCCCAAAGACGTGATTAGTGAACATAATGCAAATGCATACTAAGCATGAGAAAGGGTTGATAATTAAGCCCTTCATACAACCTGTAGATACTGCTTTTGAAACCTGTACAGTACTTCTACCATAGTGTATTTTATCAGTAGAATATCTTTATGTAGAAAGCCATAAATTCTTGTTGAAATATTCCTCATCTCTGTTCTGTCTCAATTAAAACTCATGTTCTCTATATTTGACGAAATATTCTGTGAGATTTTAGATTTTCAGTCTTTTTTGTGTATTTTGGTGGCTTTATGTGTTATCAAGAAAAAGGAGGCGATAGTTAATTTCAAATACTTATCATAATTTTAAGAAAGAAATTTTTTTCTTGGTTTAATAGAATTATGGATTTAGGAAACACAAACTTTAGGACACCTGTACAGTTGTATCACATTTTACTTTTCAAGTTTGCTTGACAGGGTCAGTGCTGCTTGCTCATTTAATAAAGCTGGACAGCATCCCAGCCAGCATCTCATCGGCCTGCGGAAAGCCGTCTACAGAACTGTCAGAGCCAACTTTCAAGCTGCAAGGCTAGCCACCCTGTACATGCTGAAAAAATATCCTTTTCTGTCTCTGTGTGAGGCTAACAGTGTTTCCAAAGCCCCGCATTAGGTGGTACAGTCGCATCCTGAGATGTGAACTGTAAATTGAGATTGCCTGTTTCAGATCTAATGTCTCTCTTCACTGCTATTTCAAAACTGAAAGTGTACTGCAGGGGCATGACAGTGACAGACAGGAAGAGATTCTTAGATGGATCATTACAACAAGGGGGAAATTCTCCAAGTCTTTCTCTTCGCTGGTCCAAAGCAAGAGGTCAAAGAGTTGGCTGCGTTAGCGGAGACATTTTAAGAAAATGAGTGCATGTGACAAATTTGCGTCATGACCTGGTGATAACCTGGCAACAGACTCTAGAGCTGGATGGCCTGAGTTCAGACTGTGGCTCTCTCATTCCCTACTGCATAGGGGACTAATCTAAGCTAGTGTTTTTAACTTCTCTCTGTTTTACTGTCATCTTTAAAATGGCAGTACTTCCATAATTAATAAACTAAGATTCATAAGTTTGTTAAATTATGAGTAAATAGAAGGCTAAAAGCTACTCTTTACCCTCAGTCTGCTGGGTACTGGTGAAGATAATGTTTTGTGCCTCCATATGCCTTCTGTCCTATCACTCCTTGCTTTACACAAATCTTCCTGGGTATATTTTCCCATCTCTACTTTATGCAAACCAAAAACAGAAGTTAAGTTACTTATAATTTAAAACACGTAATATAATATGTAAATATGTACTATATAGAGCTACTCTGTCCTGCCTTTTTGGAAATGAATAGAAAACAATTTAACTCTCATCAAGAACTTGCCCATCTACTTCTCCCACTGCTTAAAATGTCTGCCAGCTATGTGTCAAATACTTCCAGGTATTAAAGAGACAGAGTAAAACCATGAACTACCACTTCTGAGGACTTTTGAGTGTGATCAGTAGATAAACCAGCATTCACAATACAATATAAATGCTCAGGGTGTCTTCCCATATCCTAGGACAGTGAACTTGACTTATGGGATTAAAGAAACTTTCACATGAATCGGCTCTCAAAGAATGAATAGAAGTTGATGGTAAGAATATGAGGCTGTATTCCAGAGAGCAAGAAGCAAAAGGATATGGAAAGAGCCAGGCGTGGTGGCGTAGGCCTTTAATCCCAGCAGAGGTGGAGGCAGGTGAATCTCTAAGTTCAAGGTCAACCTGATCTACAGAATGAGTTCCAAGACAGCCAGGTCTACACAGAGAAACCCTGTCTTGAAAAAACCAAAAATCAAACCAAACAAACAAAAAGTATGTGGGAAGAACAGAGATTTGAGAGTGGCTTGTGAACTCCAAGTAGCCAGTCCTTCAGTGAGTGTTTCATGAGCATAAACACAGTGCTACACAATGTGCTGGTCACTAGCTATACATTGTTATGTGCATAGGTACAGTCTACCTCATGGAACATAGACTTAGAATAGGGAAAATGAGGGAAATTACCTGCACCAGTGAAGTTTTCTCAATACTGAGGACCTTTCAGTGAACAAGGTAAATGACTATTCAATGAAGCTTGCTTTCTAATGGATGAGATAATAAAAAATGAGCAGTTAAGATTTGCAGATATAATTAATATAAAAGAGAAAGTCCAGGGATATAAGATAAGAGAACAATTAGTGACGTACTACATTGACTGGGTGGTAAAGCACCTCTCTGAGGAGCTGGCCCTGAAACTAAGATTTGAGAAAGGTCAAAGAGAATGTCCATTCAGATGGACCAGAAAGTATAAAGATTCTGTGGTAGTAGGGAATTGAAGTACAGAAGGAAGGTCGTCATGACTAGTGAGCAGTATGTTGGAGTGTAGAGAACAAAATGAGCTGTAGAGATGGGCAGAGGACTGGTTGTGTTCTCTAGACAAGAACCCTCAGGAGTTAAAATGAAAAAGAATCTGCCAACCAAAGAACAGAAAGACAAGTAAAACCCAGTCTAGCTGACCAGAATAAGCAATAAAAATGTACAGGATCAATCATGAGAACGTAATGTAACAGGGGTGTTAGCCAGACTTTTAAGAGTGTAGTTTGTGCAACTCCCCGATTGCAATTTAGGAACTACAAGGGGAAATGGCCCTTCACTGCTTATCAGAATGTAAATCCCCAAACTGACCCAAAAAGAATTTAAAAATTTGAAGAGATTGAAAATGTGATTTAAAATATTTCATTTGGGAGGGGAAAAAAAAGAGTACCTAGTTTCATTGAAAGAATGGCAAATATGCACCTGTCTTAAACAGCAGTGAGGCTAGGCATTGTGATTGTGGTCCATGCCTGTAATCCCAGCTGTGCATGTGTTCAAGAGGCAGAGGCAGGAGGATACAGTTTGTAGTCAGCCTGGGCTACCCAGTGAGGTCCTATCTCAAGAAATAAGGATCTTAGCAAACCACTGTAAAAAGATCTCCAAGTTATGTGTAAGTGGGGGAGGGGAGTAGCACAGTGCCCAGAGCGTTGTTTCCATTTGTGCATAAGTAGTCTACACATATACATGCACAAATAAATGTTTATGTTTTCAGTGCGTGTGTTTATACTAGTTGTCATTATAGACATCCAGACACTCACAACTTCATGTATAGATTTGCTTTTGTGCTGTATGCTGTCCACACAATATCTTGAAGGATGCAGATAGGGAAACTGAGGACTGTCAGTGCCTCAGAACAGGTAAACTGTGTGACTAGGTGACAGGAAGAGGAAGCAGTTGCCTCGGTTTCCCTGAGTTTGATGCGTGGGACATGGAAGAAGGAGATCACCAACTCCTGCAAGTTGTCTTCTGACTTCCGTATCATTCCTCTACCCCAAATGTGATTAAAAAAAAAAAAAAATGTTTAGTTGTATGGGGCTTCCTGTAAGGGACCTGTGAAAATGGTTCACTCTTCTTTTGACCCAGAACCCCCGTCGAGACTACACAGATCAAAGGTACAGACCGTGGTGTTCACTTTAAGAACATCCATCAAACTGCCCAGGCCATCAAGGGTATACGTATCTGAAAAGCCACCTAGTATATGAAAGATGTCCCTTCGGGGAATCCCTGTGTGCCATTCCGGTGGTGTACTGGTGGAGTCAGTAGGTGTGCCCTGGTCAAACAGTGTGGCAGGACACAGGGTCATTGACCTGAAAAGAATGTTGGACTTTTTGCTTCCTGTGCTTAAACATGCAAAAAGTAGTGCTGAATTCGAGGGTGCGATACAGATTGTCTAGTCTTTGACCGTATCGAGACCAACAGAGCACCCAGGTCGGGCTGCCGATGTTCAGTTCATCGTAGAGTCACTCGGGCTGAGCTCTGCTGCCACACTGAGGGGATTCTCATTGAAAAGGAACCAATTGTGCAAAGCCAGAAGAGGAGGTCCACAGAAGAAAAAGATATCCCAGGAAAAGCTAGAGAGACCAAAAAAAAAAAAAAAAAAAAGTATGCCATGGGAATAAATTTAACATAAATAAATGCAAGAAAAAGGGTTGTTTTTTTTTTAATGTATGGGTATAATACTATAGAAAAGCAAGTAAATGGAAAATAATGTGATTGATGCTGATACATCCATGAGCACGATAACAAAATGGGACAGTGTGTATCAAACGAGCTAGAGCAGGCTAGTGCTAACACGTTCAGCGGCCGACAGCTGATGGATTGGAAGGGCAAAGAGAAGTCTTCCCTGTGGTACAAAGAGAGTCTGAGCCAGTACACAACACAGGACAAAATACAGCTTTAGAGGACAGTGTCAAAAACAACAGCAGTTGAGCAGTTTTGAAGAGCTGAACTCTAATTACTTGTTTTTATTTCAGAATACAAGAAGTTTATGAAATATACAGAAGGGAGCAGAATGCTGGGCAGTAACTAGAGTGCCACCTGCCTACTTTTAACTATTTTAACAAAAAACTTTATTCCAAGTACCCTATAAGATACCCAAGTGTTATCTCAATATGTTAACTCTTACAACTGACTTCTTTAAAACAACTGATGTAAATCTTCAGTCTAAGTTCAGAATAAAATTAGTCAATATAGTTTTGGATGTTTTTGGCTACCTTAAGTGTGTTAATGAAGAGGTGTTATTGATTGCCTTAACCTAATTTAACCTACCCCCTGAACGCTGAGAGTGACAATGTGACCAACTACATCTGTGTGGTACCTTTTAAGGAGCTGGGCCTTGGCCTCAGTGAAGAACAGATATCCGAAGAGGAAGCTCATAACTTGACAGATGGCTTCAGCCTGCCAGCCTTGAAGGTAACCCATTTGGAAGGAAGGACTGAGGAGTGCGCATGTCCTGTTTCCCTTCTGTGTTCCTAGATGCTCATTTCCGGTGCTTAGATGTTAGGACGCTGCCTGTAGGAGCTGAGAGATGATACAAATCGAATGAAGGACTCTTTGTATTCTGGTGTTGCTGCTCTTAATTTAAGAATGCCACAGAGTCTGTTTAGAGATGTGTGAATTCCTTGATGGGAAGCCCGCATGAGTTTATTTCAACAAACAAAGCAGTGTGTGTGTTTGTGTGTGTGTTTGTGTGTGTGTGTGTGTGTGTGTGTGTGTGTGTGTGTGTGTGTGTCTCCCTTTATAAAATTCCCCCAATTTTTCTTAAGAAATAATTTTTTCACTAGAGACAGCCTCATGAGAGAATATGATTGACAATATAAAAATGAAATTTCAAATACTATATACCTTACGTACAATAAAGTAAAACGAGTACTCTAGCACTGAGTAGCTTTAGACAACAGAGAGGCTCTACACGAGTCCCTGAAACATCCTTATGAGGAACGATGTCCCAGAGATACCGGTGCTTAGAAGGGACTTTGACAAAGCAGTGTTACTTTGGGATTCGATGTATGGCAGGCTCACCCGTAACACTATAATGACAATTTGGCTTCTTTCTGTATAAAGAGTACAAGGTAACTGAACTTACAAGGGTAAGAGTTTAGCTTAGGGGTGGGTTGCTTGCCTAAGGATCTTGAGGCATGCATAAGGGCCTTGGTTCCATCTCCAGCTCTGCAAATACAGTCAAGCAAACAAAAAAGTGGAGCCTACGGAAGCGAGGAAAGATGAATGGACTGGTGATTCAAAAAAGTGGAGCCTACGGAAGCGAGGAAAGATGAATGGACTGGTGATTCACAGAACAGAAGTACAAAACCATTCCGTGCAGTAGAACTTCAGTCATACTATTGAAAGAAATACAAACAGAAATACTAAGTCAGGGCTTCAGAGATGGCTCCGTGGTTAAGAGCACTGACTGCTCTTCTAGAGGACCTGGGTTCCATTCCAAGCACTCACATGGCAGCTCACATAGACATACATGCAGGTCAAACACCAATGCACATAAAATAAAATAAAAAAAAGAAAGAAAAGACATTTTACAAAGGATATTAGAAGTTAATAGTAATCGTTATCAATAAAGATTCAGGGAGACCTCACATACAGTTGACGACAGCATAAGCTTGACTAGTGAATGCAAGTCCTGACAAAGTTGTATCCTTTATCCCAGCACTTACACCCTTACCAACTGATCTGAGGACATAAGCAGATCCACCGAACGTATGCTGAAAGCAAATTACAGTTCAGCCCTGTGGTATCAGTAGTGACTTACACTGGAGATGGGCAAGGGGGGACGTGTGTGTGTGTGTGTGTGTGTGTGTGTGTGTGTGTGTGTGTGTGTGTGTGTGTTTCCCCCTTTTGAAACAGTTTTTCTGCCATATAACCCTAGCTGTCCTGGAACTCCATAGACCCAGCTGTCCTTGAACTCAGAGATCTGCCTGCCTCTGCCTCTGCCTCCCGAGTCGTAGTCTAAAAGACGTGCGCCACCACTGCCTGGCTGTGGCCATAGAAACGCATTAAAGAAAACAAATAATGTGGGAAAATAACTTAAGGCCAGTTATAAAAGCCATGCACACACCTTTCGTCGCGGCACTCAGGAGGCTGATGCAGGAGGATCACAGTTGAAGGCCAGCCTGGATTACATACATAGCGTAACCTTGTTTCAAAAACATCTGTGCAGCAGTTTCCAGAGAATTTTTAAGAAGTCAGTCCAAATGTGTTTAGTATTTAGTGAGCTCTATGTAGATACTTCTTTGTTTCTCATTTTTGAAACTTCCCTTGATAACCATGTAAATCAGTTCAGAATGTAGTTGGCAGCACTTATCAAGATACACTTTGTGCTGAGATGTGTATCTTTTAACTTGTACGTTTTCTAATCTGTATATAGTTTCTGCTTCTAGAAAATGGAGTACCATTATTATCCTCCTCTTACCCATCCTCACCTTAGCCAATGGCATTATCATCAAAGTCTCTCTTCTCCCTGTGTCTCCCTTTCCCTCTCCCTCCCTCTCTCTGTCTGTCTCTATCTGACAGGTCTAGCTCTGGTGCCAGGCTAGCCTTGAACTTGCCATTCCTCCGCAGCCCTCAGAGTAGCTGGATTGCAGACACACACCACTACACCCGCTTAGCATCTTACGTGGGCCACTGCAACAGTTTTCTCCCTGACTTCTTATATTTTGTAAAGTTACTTGTTGGACAATGTAATTTGACATATTAGAGCCGTTTATAAGAGATTTGTGCTTTGAACTAGCTATTCCAATTTCACAAATCTTTCTTAAGGTGATTATTCTAAATATATCAAGCCTATATGCCAAGTTACTTAGCTTTGTGTAGGGGTGAACACTACCTAAATGTGCTCTGCTCTAGACACCTCCCTGGCAAATGCGGAGTTTTTTGGAGGTGGAAACTATGGTAGAATAAAGGAATGGCTGCGTGGGTGGTGGTAGATCTGCATGGTAAACCTTTGTACAGCAGCTATAACTTGCTTATTATAGACACTTGGAACAGTGTCTGCTCCCTCTGCAGTAATCAAGTGGATAGGCAGGGCGACTGGACTCTGTTACAAGTGGGGAAGAGTAGGAGGAAGTCCTAATAGTGCTCACTGGGGGAGGGGGCTTTAAGCAGCTTCTTTGATTTTCAAGGTAATTCTCATAATAGTGCTTTTACTCTGCAATAGAATAGTCTTCTTGAGAGATTTTTAATTGAGCAGAGGTGAATTTATATTCTAACTCTGCCTCCAAACTGTCCTCGATAAACTATTCTTTAAACTTTCCTTTAAAAGGGGTTACCACACCTGCTTTTCGAGGTGTTAGGTTAAATGAGAAGACATGCAGAATGTCTAAACAGAGCTGGTCCTTTAATGGGGCCTTAAAAACAGCCACTGCGTTTTGTTTGTTTGTTTGTTATATTGCTATTTATTTTAAAGTTCACAGACTGTACATTTTCCTTTCTTTCTAATGTATATGAGCGTTTTGTGTGCGTAGCTGTCTGTGCACCATGTGTATGCCAAAGTCAGAAGAGGGAGTCGGATCCCCCAGAACCCGACTTCACCTCGATTTCCATCTCCACTCGGTGGCCCACATGGGGTGCTGGGAGTCAGAACCTCGTCCTCTGCAAGAGCCACAGTGTTCGTGACCACTGAGTCTGTCTCCATCCTCTGCTTTGTCCCCCACTGCTGTTCTTTAAGAAGGACTCCGAGAAGCAGTTTTCATATTCCTTCATCTCTTTATTTTTGTTAGTCATCAAGATGTCTCACTGACTTTCCTGTTTATGTTTTGATGTAGTTTTTTGTTTTTTACTTTTTAAATTAAAATATAATTACATCATCTTCTCCCTTCCCTTCCCTCCTTCCCAACACCTCCCGTTGCTCTATCTTGAAATCGTGGCCCCTTTTTCCTTGTTATTGTAGTGTGTGTGTGTGTGTGTGTGTGTGTGTGTGTGTGTGTGTGTGTGTGTGTGTGTATGCGTATGCCTAAATATACAAATATAACCTGCTCAGTCCATTGACCACATAGTACTGGACAACCAATTAGGGAGCTCATCCCTGGGGCACACTGTGGCTCCCACTCAGCATTCCTCAATTTTTTGTAGTTCTTCGTCTAGGGTTTGGAGCCTCCTGAGACTTCCCCCTTCCACGTTAGCAAATCTTATGCTGTTAACACTTCTTCTGGGTTTGTTTAAGCAGCCATATTGCTGAGGTATCCTGGGGGAACACTTCCTGTCATTTCTAGACATAATCTCACAGCAGCTTTCCTAGGACTCTCGCTCTTACGAGCTTTCTGCCTCCTCTTCAGATGCTCTCTGAACCTCAGGTGCAGGAGTTGTGTTGTAGATGGACCAGTCGGGGCTGGGCACCGTGTGGTCGCTTGTTTTCTGTATTTGACTGGTTGAAGTTTTCTCTGCGGGTCTTCTGTTGCAGAGAGAGGCAGTGAGAGGCAAGAGCTACGCTTACCTATGGATATAGGGTCGACACTTAGGATGAAGTTAGTCAAGTGACAGTCATTAAGTTCTCCTCTAAGATCTTCACTAGCCCTAGGTGGTTGACTTGCTTCCCAGTACCAGGCACAGTAAATCCTCTTGAGTGGGCCTTAAGTCCAATTAGAGAGTTGTTGGTTACCACCAAGACAGAATGCCGTGATTGCACCCTTAAGATTATCATATCATTCTGGTGGTCGTTGTAGTTCACGGGCATCACAGGTGAGTAGGACTCCTTAGAAGCTTGCCTGGCACCTTCCTGTGCTATAGAAACTAGTCTCCAGGGAGGAGGCTCTCAGGTCAGATCCAGCTAGGATCCTCTGGGTCCTGTGTCCAGAGTGCAGGCTGTCTTCAGCTGTCGGAACCTACCTCCTACCTATGGGAAGGGTGGAGGGACAACAATAACAGCCTGTATTGTTTGGGGAGGCTCTTGGACTCCCCTGGCCAGCAACTCCAAATGCAGTTTCTCATGCCTGATGGTGGGGTTTACTTAGATTGTCTGCGGCTCTTGATAGGGGTTGGAAGATGGGAGTTACTCTCAGCCCAGAGAAGTAACTTCATTTGCACTATATCTGTATATGTATACACATAGACTTGTATGTGTTGCTGTAATTTAGGTAGAAAATAATATGATTCCTTAAGGCTTTTTCCAATCTCTCGGTGTCGTTCTGCCTCCTCCCTTTCTGTCCTGTACTGACCTGCCTCCTCCCACCCCCAGTATAGCCCCCTCCAGTTTACGCAACATCCCCCTTCCAGAGTCCTCGGATTGTTTGTAAAAGCATGCAAATCCTGAACTGTGCGCTAGCTGGAGTCCAGGCCTCAAAAAGAAGAGAGGGCCCCACATGGCCAGACTCCAGATTCCGTACAGCTCCATTCCGAGACTTCTGATACGCTCTGGAGGAAATCACTGCCTTGGCATTTTTTAAAATAGACACCCCAGTGCCTAT